TCCCTGGCCCAGGAAGGGGTGGGTCGGGAAGGGCGCTTGCTGGGGCTGAGGCTGGGCTGGGGGGCGGGAGGGGATGAGGTGGGATCAGAGCTGGGGGTCGGAGCGGGTGGGTCAGAAGGAGGAGCAGCGAGTCGCCGAGTCGCTGTGATGCCGAGGGCGTCACTGTGATGCCAGGGCGGCCACGCCCCCTGCCTCCGGCCCCAGGGAGCTGTGCCCGGTGACAGGTTAGGGTGGGCGAGCTGTTAGGCCAGGCAGGAGCTCTGCTGCCCAACACCCTGTCCCCCAGTTCCCTCCCTGGGGTGGGGGGTGACCCTCTGATGAGGTCGACCCTGGTCCAGCTCTGGCCTGGAAGCAGAACCTGCCCATCAAGAGACGGAGGGTCGAGGGGTCAGCAGAGAGGGCTGGGGCGACCGGGCCATCAGGGTAGGATGCGGAGCTCCGGGCTGAGACCCGCGGACCCTCAGGACGTGACCCCTCAGTTGCAGCGTGGAACGGTGGTCCCTCAGCTAAACTGACAAGCACATTGTTCGAAAATGCCCGTACCCTTGACCCACCAAAGCCCACATCCCCTTCGATGTCTTGCCGCTCGTGGGGAGGGAAGCCTGGTACTGGAACAGCATGCACGCACAGAAAAAATCCTGAATGTCCTTGGACAGGACTTAGGTGGTGTCCGTCCAAACGTGTGTGACGCTGGGTCCCCCAAGACTTCCCCAGAGTGAGATCCAGACGCTGATGGAGCGGATGTCGCATGGGAGGGAGAGGTGTGGCCACGGTGGGGGGCAGAGCACCACCCCTGTGCACGCGTCTGTGTGTGTGTGCGTGCGCGCAGGTGCACAACAGCACACAGCTGTCCCCTCACAATGGACTTCCAGGGCCAAGGGAAACTGTTCATTGCATACTTTGTACTGCTTGAATATTTGTCAAAACAAAAAGTTTGTAAATAAAATTCATCCAAATTGTTAAGAAAAACAAAATGGCCCTGCATACCACACCCATAGCATCCTGCCCCTACCGTGGACAGCGTGGTCAGCCCACCAGAGGAAGCCCCTCGCCCCTCGCCCCTCTTCCTCATCTAGTCAGTTGTGTCCTCTTCAGCTCCTTCATAGTAAGTCACACATTCCAGCCTCCATGTACTTGGCTCAACTGTTTTCTCAAGAGCATCTAGTATGAAAATGAGGAAATGAAGGCCCATATTCTTCCCCATGATTCCTCCCCCTTCCAGTTTCTGACAGCTCTTGTCATATCATGTTTATATATTTATACATATTAAACTTTGCATGTTTTGTCTAAACGTTGCAGACTCACAAAAAGCATTTACGATCATCTGTTAACTCACCCTGGAGCCCCGGAGTGAAGTGATTCTGTACCCGGGCCACTCGGTCTGAGCACAGAGACGACGAAGCTCTCTCCTTCCAGACGCCACCAAACGCTCAAAGTTCATGTCATATTTTAACTTGCTTTATATTTGGACTCTGGTCCAGCTTTTTGTCTTCCATGGACATTTTAAAATAAAAATTTTAAGTAAAAGTACAGCAATTTTTTTTTAAGTTTTTTTTTTTTTTTTTTTTTGCAGTACGCGGGCCTCTCACTGCTGCGGCCTCTCCCGTTGCGGAGCACAGGCTCCGGACGCGCAGGCTCAGCGGCCATGGCTCACGGGCCCAGCCACTCCGCGGCATGTGGGATCTTCCCGGACGAGGCCACGAACCCCTGTCCCCTGCATCGGCAGGCGGACCCCCAACCACTGCGCCACCAGGGAAGCCCAAAAATATAGCAATTTTTAATGCTATTGACAAAAAAAACCCCACAAACCTTTGTCTTATCACCACGATCTGCAGTTTTCTTATTAAACTCTGCACGAATCCAATTTCCTCTCAAAGACCTTTTTCTCAGAACCTGATGCCTTCCGACCGGCTGCGTGGCTGGCGTCCCCTCCTCCCCAGACCCCAGCCTTCCTTTTACTTATTTTCCTGATTCGTTTTTACTAAAGTGATCCTTACATGACTTCCTCAGCAGAAAGACATGGGAGGAAAATGTTCTGACTTATTTTGCCTTCGTGTTAGTAGTTTGGCTGCATGTGAAGTTCTAGGTTCGGGACTTCCCTAGTGGTCCAGTGTTAAAGAATCCGCCTTCCGATGCAGGGGACGCGGGTTCGATCCCTTGTCAGGGAACTAAGATCCCGCAAGCCACGCGGGGCAACGAAGCCCTCGCGCCACAACTACCGAGCTGGCGCGCCGCAGTGAAAGATCCCGCATGCCACAACTAAGACCCGACACAGCCAAATAAATAAATGAAGTTCTAGGTTCACGTCCTGGCCCAGAACTCGGAAGGACTCGCTCCCCAGCCACTGATTTCCAGCTCTGGAGTTGGCTGCCGTTGTGTAACTAACCTGGTTTTCCCCCCACACACACACAGAATTTTTGAAATCTAGTCCCAGGTTTTCGTATTTCACAAGATTGTGCATTGGGGCCCATTTTCATTTGTCCTGACAGGACCCAGTGAAACTCCCTCCTCAGAAGACTAGCAACTCCCTTCTGTCCTTTCTCCACTCACTTCCTCAAGGCGTCTTCCCCTCTGATCGTCCAGCTCTCACTTTCTTTAAGAGGAATTTTGTGAAGAAAATAGGCCAGACGATCTTGAATGGAAATCCACAGCCCCCTCCCCTCCCTGCCCCAACGTAAACTTTCCACTTCTGTTTCTGGTCAGTTCTTCCCCCACGCAGCGGCCTCTAGATCAGGCTGTCACTTCCTGTTTCCTGATTACCCCCAATTTTAATAGGAGACTCTGTTGCTTTGTTTTGTTTTTATGGCTACAGTATATGTTCTTGAAGTTCTGAGGGCACTAATTCAAATTTTTGAAGTTCTTTTTTCTCTTTCTGCACGTCTAGGGCAGGG